AAGGCATGAATCGGGCAGGATTGTCCGCATAGACTTTAGACTTTATCCCAATAGGAAAAAATCTAACGCTTTAATATCACACGATCTTGGTGGCCAATCGACCGGCACATAACGTGAAATTATCTGCTCACCGAAGTATTCTCTCAATAAATCCATTAGTTGATGCGATGTGTAGGAAGGGGCGATGTCTTTTTCAAATAAAACATCGCCGAGATCACGAGCTTCAATTTCAGGCATCAAATAATCGGTTATCATGACGCGATAACTGTCGCCGATTACGTTCTCACTGGCATCATTTTTGAAGAAATATGGACCTATGATTCCTTCGGCCGACAAGCAACACCAAACCATTGTTTTATCTGAATGAAATCGCAGCTTTTGAATCTCTTCGGTTTGCTCTTCGTTTCAAAATTTGGCTCGAAAATGTCGGATCTTCTTAGAACTTTTCAAGAGCTCTATGAGCAAGGCGATGTCGCTCGGGAAGGTCGAACGGATTCAATTCTTGCAGAATGTGTATTTTTTATTTGATATCAAAGTAAAATGCGCCAAGTCATTCCATACATCCGAATTGCTGCGAACAGCGCCGAATCGACTATCCACGGTCTTCGAGTACACTATGTTCTATTAGGTCGAATCTTATTCAATAATGAATGCTGGATCTCACGATGGGTGACGGTATTGCAAATTGTGAACTTAGTAGCGAAGCGCGCGAACCACATTCTTTACAGAAGCTGAATTTGCGTAATAAAGTTGAATGATTTGTAAACGTTGTTCTTTCAATAATATACTGTCAAATAATTCCAAACAAAAAGAAAATGTCAGTTTGACACGATTCACAAGTGATCTGCCAAAAAAATGCTATTGGAAAAAGTAGCTCTACTTGATCATCCGTTACATTTTCTTTTAAAAACAGAAAGCAGAAAATTTTAATGTTTCCAGTTGGTTTTCGACATATTTTTATTTCCTATCAAAATTTGTGTGCTCATCATACAATGTTTACTACTTTTTCTTTCTTAGTTGTTATTTCCTCTTGCTATTCCATATCAATGTAATTATGCCAGTCTGTTCATCTTATACCAGTGTTTTATTCGATTTGCTACACTCTAGGTTTTTCCAAACGTTGGCAACTGTTTGCTTATCTTCTTTGTCCTTTCATAATGCCAGCAAAAAAAAGATGAGGATTACGAGTAAGCAGAGCTTTAAGCATATTAAAATTCATTGCTCGTTACAAACTTTTCACCATGCACTCACTATCTTTTCGCATACAACAGATCTATAAAAACCTTCTGAATTTATGCAAATTTATGTGTACGTATTTAGATTTGTCTCCAGTTCTGTGTTTGTAATTATAATAATTTTCGCACTTTGGCAACAGACAAACAATGATTCTACCAGACAGTAAAAAATTAATAGTTCAAAATGTAGACATTAAAATCCAAATTTCTGCAAACAGTCCGCTAAAAAAGATTATCTGTTAGTCCGGAGTGTGCTGCTGATAAACACAAATACATGAATAATATTTATTAAATTTGTTTGGACATTTGTCACCTGCGGCCACTGTTAACCTCTTTCTATGACAACTTTTCCCATCCAAATTTGAGAAACAAATGCTAAACATTAGACGAAAATTATAGCAAAATTTGCAAATAAACTGAACTCAAGCTTTTTGGTACATCTATTCAGGGAAAAGTCATTGGCCGCTGTTGACGACATTTGAAGAGAGTTTTGCCATTTTTCGTTAGGAAGACTGCTTGCATATGACTATGTTCTTTAAAGTTTTAATATTTATTAAAATTTTTTGTGAAACTTGTGAAGTTAACGAAGACGAGGATGTAACAGTTCGTGTAGTACAACAACGGTACGTTCGCTTGCATTCTGAAAGTTTCCACGTGAAAGATGCACATCGCTCTGGTCGACCTATCGTTGAAGAGGTCGATGAAATTATAGTAAAGATTGACCAGGACCGTCACTTAAACAGCCACGACATCACTATGGAACTTAACATTCGTCATCAAACGGTTTTGAACCATTTAAAAAAGTCTCGATCTTTGGGAACCAAATGAATTGTCAGCCGAACATTTAATGGACCGAATTAACATCTTTGATTTTTTGCTGAAACGAAATGAAATCGAACCATTTCTGAAGCGAATGGTAACAGAAGACGAAAAGTGGATCAAATGCGACGATAATATGCGAAAAATATCTTGGTGAAGCTCAACAAATGGTCGCAAAGCCTGGATTGGCGCCTCGAAAAGTTATGCTGAGTGTTTGGTGGGATTGGAAAGGTATCATCCAACATGAGGTGCTCCAACCTAGTCGAACGATTGATTTTACATTTTACTGTCAACAACTGATGAAATTGAAGCAGGCAATTGGAAAAAAAGGACCAGAACTGATCAACAGAAAGGAGCGCCATCTGGACTTTTTCGACTACCCAATATCATTTGTGAAGGTGGAACTAAGAAAATATTCTCACTCGACTTCTACTCATGCTTTTGGTGTTGCATTAGAAGCTAATACTTCAGAAGCAGACTTTCGTGTTTGGCGATTTTTTCCGAATTCAATAAATAGTACAAACTAATGGAGAATATTTACAAAACACCATGTAGTTCTAAAACTCTTCCACTTAGCAACGACTCTTAAGTATTCAAAGCTCAAGGTTCAGTTTCTTCTGTTCCTTTGTACGCCTTTTTGGCAACGTTATAGTATAAATTGATTAAATTAAAAGGCATTAACAATTACCTCAACAGCTCTCTAAACTTTATTTGCATAAATTTTGCCGTGAAATGCTTTCTTTTCACGTCTCATACAAATGGTATAAAATATCTGATGGGAAAAACTACCAACCCCATGATGAACAACCGAAAACCGAACAGCACAAACCGACCCTGTCAATGTCAAGGAGCAAATTTATGCAAACCGTGAAAAGCATTACAACTGCGACCTTTTTGGTGCCAGTCTAAATAAACACCGCTTATCATTCAACTTTACGAGCTTAATTTCAATTTCAATTTAACTGGACAGCGAAAAAAAGCCCACGAAATCACCGATGAACTTTGCACCTGAAGAAAATAAAGGGCCAACCAGATTAGTGAAAATAAGAATTTCATTTCGGCCCCACACACTAGTGCAAAGGAAAAGAAAGCAAAAAATGTTCCGTACCACTTATAAGATCACACACACCCACACATGAATCGCAAGGACTGCAAAATGCTAATTTCAGAATAAGTTGCGATAAACATCTATTTGCTCGCAAAAGAAAGGTAAGAAGGAAAGCAAGAAGCTCGTGTGACATCGCGGCAAGGACAGAGAAGCCACAATGCTCGCACCAACCCATTAGCCGGCACACACACGCACACAAGCTACCGCCAAGGCATGGCACCCAAATTGGCCGAAAGTAGTTAGTCACACTTGAGCGCTCTTTGAATGAATGCCTCTCACCTTACGCCATGCGCTTTGCCAATCTTCCATCAGCACTTGCCGTGCTCGTTACCTATTTTCTCAGGTTGTTGTAGTTTAACATTAAGCAAGTAAGGAAAGGTAAGGTTTGAACCCAAGCAAACATTTCTTTTTAGAACCTTTGCCGAGCGAAAAAATAGAATATTGATAGCAACTCGGCATCAGAGTTGTCACATCTCAGAACCACTGTTTGCGATAATTCTTCTCGTAGTTAAAAAGAATGAATTCGATGTACATGTGCATATGAAACTTCACCTACAAATAGGAGCAACACCTCCTACACGCCTACTTTCTTATTGTTCAGATAAATTTAAGTTGTTAAATCTTATCGTTAGATTCGCACATAACGTTGTAATGGAATTGGGTGTGCATACAACCAAGTTTCATCCATTTGCGCTCGATTTGAGAAGTGGATTAAATGGAATGGCCTCGTCATATTTTTTAGCACAGCTTAAATTTCTTCTGTAGCTTAATTGGTGACCTAGTCATAACGGTTTATTTATATATATATATATTATTATCTTCGGCATCCTCAACCTCTCAATGAGAGAACTATTATATCCCATGCAACGTGTTGCCAGCGTATAAACAACAGTCTCTCAGAGGAGAAGTGTCACATCACAAACTAAATAAAATGTAGGTATGTATGTACTTCCTCGTAAGTTGAAGTGCCGAGCAGAGTCTCCTGCACAAAACCACCGCAACAACCACAACAGCAGCTGTAAAGACTTGGTGGAAAAGTAGCAAGCAAACAATGTCACAGGTGTAAGAACAAACAAATACGACCCTGCACGAACACAATAAGCTTTATGTAGTACAGAAAATATACCAACCTCGCCAAAAAGATTTGAATGTTGACTAAAAGTAGTATGTTTTAGTCTTTCAATTAGAAAGAACATGCATGATAACTTTGGCCAGATTTGAATCATGATTTTATTACAACAACTGAAAGGCATGTTTTAGCCTATCAGAAGTGTCCTAACTGCCAACCGCACATCTTCATTCCTATTCATTGCCTCCCGGTTGTTTCACTGTTTCCTGTCAAATCGAGCGCGTAGGAAAAAGATGCAGAGGGTGTCGGTTGACAACTCATAGGACATCAGAATATCGAATACGTCAATTACTGCGAAATTTTCCCACAGGGTATACATGTACCATTTGTATTTGTAGTAGTGAGTCCATGTTTGCAGACGTTAGTTTCGAATGATTATTATCTTTACAATGCTGGCTGTTGACATTGGCCTCCGAGAACAAAGACACAACTGTTAATTTTATGTTGTTTGTGTTTACGAATGTAGTCGGCAAGGCGAAAGTGAAGAACAGGTGAACCGCCGCGGCTGCGGCATTCGCTGTGTTTGATTGGCTGTTGGTAGTTTGCCAGCACGGCTTTCACCATTTTCTCCGCATTTAGTTTAGAATTTTCTCTGCCTAGGTTGCAGCTTTTTGTAAAATTTGTTTGATTTTGAGGAAAAACGTACGGGTTCCTTCTGATTTAAGATGAAATCGGCGCTGCAATAGCTTTACTCTTAATTTCAATTTAAATGCCAGTGCAATATCACACTAAGGCTTTAAAGAGAACACTAATACACATAAGATGCCAGCATTAAGAAGAACTGTCCCTATAAAAAATATCATATCTCCAGAATACGCATGCATACGGAAAGGGTTAGTAGAACTAACTGAATTGAAGGTGTTGTACTCACCGACTTATCAGCAGCTCCTTGCCTTGGACACATTTCAACAAAAACAGGGTAAACGAATTATTACTGCGACTTATATTTATAAAATAATTTATTTGCAATGTAACCATTACTTAACTAAGCTCGTCTATGATTATTTGAAAAAAGAATCGCAGAAAAGTTTATTATACAATTATTCACGCTATAAATCAACGCCGTAAATAACGAGCTGATAGTGTGCGCGTAAGTTATTACTACGCCCCGCATGTCTGCCGCCATCAGGATGACCGCCAGTGCTCGGGGCGCTGTCTGCAGCTGATAGCTGATAAGCGGGCGTTGCCATTTCAAATCGTAATGTCGTGTAATTAAAGCCAACGCCGCCACGCAGAACCGTAACCCTTGCAGAATCCACGCTTGCCAAATGTGCATCGGCCGCGCGCTCCGCATCAGATATCGTGTATAGTGGTGTTTTCGTGTCGAATGCGTGCATTGCGGTTATGATGTACTCGTTGATGTCACCCTGTGAAGCAAAGAGAGACCAATGTTAGAATAATTTAAAAATTAAATTTTATCGAAATGTGAGTATTACAAGAGAGCGTGCACTGGCACTGGTTTACAGAGGTTCAACCATTAGCAATTGTTTGATATTAACTTTACCGTCGCCGTAAGGAACAAAGACACATGAGATCGATCCTCAACGCTACTTCATAAAACAGTTATGGTACAGTAGTTGTTCACGATTATCGAGGTACTCATATTCTGTGAGGCAAGGTTCGTTGAAAGAGTTCATAAGTCTCTGACATAAAAAGTTTCTTCGAGGAAAAATTGGTTAAAGATAACGGTACTTTAAGTGTATGATAAATTATTACAAAACAAAAAAATTCTGATCAAGGAAAGTGCTGCTCGTCAAATAGCTGTTCGTCGAATATTTTGAACTGCACAATAGTCAAGAATTCTATTTATAATATAAGTCGATTACCCTGTAAAAAAATTATAAAAATCTTTGCCCGCGCTTGCCAACACACAAACTTCTGAATATCATTAGTGGGAATTTGTTCACTCAATGACTGCGCTTTGCCAAAAACGATTGGAATTTGTTCTTTTCACTTTCGTTATTGTTAACATTATGCGAACACACACAAATATATACATATATATATATTAGTTACTCACCTGTCGTGGATACGTAACTTCAACTATCGGTTTGTTATCAGTGAGCTTAATTTCTTCATCGTAAATAGGCGAGGCATACTTGCCCACCTGACCCCACGTCAACGAGACTCCACCAGATAACGCTGGCAATGCGCTTAGTGCGCCGACAAAAAGTGAGAGCAACACAAACTTTTCGGAGTTTTTAGAATATTTTTTACTCATTATCGAAAATATCGAACAACTGCTGGCCAAAACAACCCTCCAGAAAGAACTGTGTATACACAACTAATATCGCTATCGCCACCGTTTCCGTCAAGTGCCAACAACCAGCCAATACAAAACATTTAAAACATACAAATCACGATCGAAAGTGTCTGCCTTCAATGCGTCATACATATTTACAAGTACTTGAGATATTGAAGTTTAAAATTCAAATTTTTATATAAAAAGGGAAAAAATGAGACGATGCTGTATCAGTTCGTGAAACCCAACAATACTTCGCTCGCTTCCGTTCTGGAAATTTCGGAATTTTGAAGTTCAAGTTTGATTAAAATACGAGAAGACTTTTTTGACTACCCAATATTTACCAAAAAATGAATCACTGTTTCTATATAACTGGACATAGAAATATTATGATGCCTTCTATCAGACATTTACGAACTCTTCTTACTATGATTATTTGTAGTCTTGCCTGAGAAACCCAAAGTTTAAATATGCGTCTGCCCATTATATTTAACATTGAGTGTACAGACCTGTTGATAATGATAACGAATTGATGGATCGAAAATATCCACCCGCCTATTTATATTTGTTGTACTTGACAGAGATAAGATCGCGGTCGTCTACTCATTTAGCACATACATATGTCTGTAAGTAATATGTTTGAACATAAATATATCTATATTGCAGTGAGATATCGTTGTCAAAGTTTCGCCCTTTTTGGGCCAGTTAATTGTCACGTGCAACACGATAAACTCATAAATGATAGCAGTGCCCAATTTACGTCGGTCTGATATGTAAGCAGGTGGTTTGATAAAAACTACACCGTTAACTGTCAACATTTGCTTATTTTTACGAAGAAACATTCCTATATTTGGCTAGATTCCAGACTTATTATTTACTTGTTGTTTATTTTTAGCTTCTCACCTTCAGAGACGGCAAATTTGGCGTAAATTTTGGTGGTTATCACGCTGAGGCGGGTCTGGGTGGTCTACTCACTGGCGATGCAGCGCATGGCGGCCTAAGCGCTTCGGCTGGTACGCCGTTCGGGCAAAGAGCTGGTGCTGGCTTGGGAGGCAGTGTGGATGGTAATTTCATTAATATAAAATTTAACTTAATCATATAAAAATCGATAACGATTAACGCCAAAAAGCTGACAGCAAATATGAATTGGAAAAATATCACAGATTTCATCGAGCAGTACTTAACGCATTTAAATATTGCAACTTAGTAGTCACAACTCACAGTAGTGTTCGGTGAATTACGGTAATTGTCCGATTAAGCTCCCACTCAGGCATACAGAAATGTATTGAACACTTGAGAAAGGAGTGTCTAGGAAATTTATGACACAAACGTACGCTTATGATCTATGAAGCTGGCATGTCACGAAAATGTATCTACTTATTCGAAAAGAATACATTTCAACAATTTATATGGAGCTTTGCTCGCCTAACAGGTGGAATTTCGTTGACTGTGATAATACTAGTTCAAATGATAATCTTACATATCTACCTTATATTTCAAATGCAATGCATTATTTCACCACACTTTCCATATTTAGTGGTGAGTTTTTGTTTTGCGACTCTCATGTTATAACTCTTGCCTTTTCCTAATGGGTACTTAGCTTGTTCAAACTTTCTCGGCGACAATTAATTATTATGCGAGCATTCTATGGCAACATTGTGGCCCAACACTTTTTATTAAAACTTTTCATATGGAAGCAATATATTTACCACAATAAATCCACAACTGTTAATATGCATGCGCCAACCAAAAAAATACAAACTCGTGAGATCAGAGGCGTTTGAAAGTTATTTAATGAGTTTTGTTCATTAAATTAACTACTTTGTGTGCGAATCGAGTTCATTTTCAACATTGACATTGGAATTCGGTCGAATTCGATGACCCATAAATATTAATGAGCTTATATAATTATTTTAAACATATCTACTCATACCAGGAAATGCCGCTGGCGTGTTGTATGCCGGTGCTGAGGCCAATCCACAGACCGGTGCTGGAGCGATTCTTGGCGGAGATACCAGCAGAGGAGGTTTTGCGGGTTCACAAGCTTTTTCCGGCAGTAGAACCGTGGCAAGCACGAAAAACCACATCTTTCCGGGAGCTTTCAGCAATCAAGTGGACGCAGTAACTAGCGGCCCCAGCGACACAACACAGTATGATGGCATACAAAAGGTCCGACCACCGAAAAAGTATCTGATTAAACCGAGTGTAAGTATTTGCAATGATATGGCTATCGCTTAAGCTAAGCCTAGAGTGAAGTGAAGAGCAAAGTGAATGTTTTAAAAGAAAAGAAGATGAAAGCAAGCAAGCCTCCGTGTATTATCATCTACTATCATCAATTACTATCGGAGCATCAAAATTATTACTAAACTTTGCTCTCATCTCATGTTTGCTCTAAGCATGCCAAAAAAGTAAAAATTTTAATTTAAATTGACCAAGGCTATGACTTAGTCAATGAAACTCTTATTTAGCTTAACGTTCAACACTACTAAGCCCTTGATGACTGAAAGAGACTCTGAACTAAGACCCTATGAAATCCAAATATACGTTTTGGCTTATTATATGATTCTCTAAATAATCTAGACTCTTACTCTTCCCTCATATATTGAAATATTTTTCATTGCAACAAATGACAGTTATACTTCGAGAAGGAGTACAGCAATAGCGCTAATAAGAATCCCAATAATTCCGACCGCAAGACCACTGACAACCGCCATGCCACCAGCACCGACATCCTTAGTCGTGGTGATGACATTTCAAACGCTGCAACAGGCAACGTTAACGGTGACAGCGATGACGTCAACGATGGCACCGCCGCTGCTTCCACTGCCGGAGAAAAACCTAAATACGACGCGAAACCAATTGCTACATATGTTCCCGTTGTACAACACTCTGCAGGAGCACCAAGCGGCAGCGACACCACAGACAGCGTGGAGAAAGCCGACAGCCAGCAGCAACTCAGCGACACACTACAGCGAGCCGTCAGCGCCGAGCATGCTGCTGCGCTACCCACCATCGTTGTGAGCAGGCAGCGCTTGCGCCAAAAGTCACGCACCCGACCCAATAAGCGTGAGCGCCAACTGCAGCGGCAACGCGAGCGCCTACTGCAAACACAGCACACGCTAAGGACGACCGAGGCCGGAGTTGGCGCGCCAGATGCGCCGCATGCAACACAAACCAAACACCAACAATCAGTTGTTGCTGTGCAACAACACTCGCAGGTATCACAGCCGTCACGGCCGAGTGGAAAACAAAATGACGAAACCACAAAAAGCATTATATATATTATAAAAGTGAAAGAGAACATGAAAATGAATATGTACATATGCATGGGTGCTGAAGGAAGAAAATAATGACTGAAAAACGGTGATGCACGTAGCGGCACAGCGGTGTGTCTGCTTAATTTACCGTTGTAGTGGTGGCAGTCGCAACTTGACTGGGGCGGTTCAGGCAATGCTTTCTTAGTTGCTCATACGCCGCGCACAACCAGCGTTTCGTATCGCTTGTACCTGCGTAAATGCAAAAATGCAATTCCCTCCCACCCACTCCGTCTTCCATTATCACGCATAACGGGGCAATGTGTCAACTGCTATGTGCTCACGCGCGTGCATAAAGGATAATGCGCAAAAAACGTCCCTGCACTTGTCATTTTATGCAAATTGTGCGGTTGAATACACGCGGTTGCCACCGCATCCCCAGTTCCCTCTCCCCAACGGCACAGCACGGCATTTACATGCATTTTGTGGCTTGTCGCTGTTGCAAGCAGGTTTTGTTATTTCGCTTTTTGTGTTTTTTTGTATTTTATTTTTGCTTTGATTTGGTTTTTGTTTGCTTAATTACTCTACTCAGTTATTGCTCACTGTTTCGCTTATGCGTTGGTGGTAACTGTAGTTATACTTGGTGTGCTTTCAGGCTAGCGTCTTGTTGTTGTTTTTTGTTTAAATAAAACTCAAATATATAATATTTTTATGAGATTATTTGGTTGTGGTTGTGGAAATAGGTGTGATATTTACACATTAATGAAGATTTCAGAAATTAAACACTTTGAAGAAAGTGCTACTTGAGTGCGAAATTTCGCAGAAACAGAAACATTAAGCCTTCTGAATAAAAAATGAGCATAAAAAATGAGCATATAAAATATATATAAAAAATATTAAAAATTATAAAATAAAATTGAGCCAAATTATTCTTATTTATTGCTTTTAAATAATTTGCATAACTAAGCACCATTTTTTACCCCCTGAATAGGGTATATTAAGTTTGCCATAAAGTTTGTATCACCCAGGAAGAACTCAATCCTATTGTGTCATACGCTTCCGTTCTGGAAATTTCGATGTGAAAGATGCACCTCGTTCTGGTCGAACTATCGTCGAAAAAGTCCATGAAATTATAGAAAAGATTGACTAGGACCCTAACATAAGCAGCCATGACATCGCTAAGGAACTTAACATTCATCGTCAAACGGTGTTGAAGCATTTAAAAAGGGCTGGCTACAAAAAGAAGCTCGATGTTTGGGTGCCACACGAATTGTCTGTGAAAAATTTAATGGGCCGAATTAACATATGCGATTCTTTGCTAAAACGAAATGAAATCAAACCACTACTGAAGCGTATACAAGAGACGAAAAGTGGATCAAATACGACAATAATGTGTGAAAAGTTCATGGTCCAAGCCTGGTGGAGTTCATCAAATTGTCGCAAAGAGAGGATCGGCGCCTCGAAGGTTATGCTGAGTGTTTGGTGGGTTGGAAAGGTATCATCCACTATGAGCTGCTTCAAGTTGGTTGATTTTAGAAAAAAACGGCCAAACTGTTTAATAGAAAGGTCTTTGTCTTCCATCAGGACAACGCTAGATCAGACACATCTCTGATGAGCTGGGAAGTTTTGATGCATCCAGGTCAGTGCTATAACCTTGCACTATCGGACTACCATTTGTTTCGATAAATGAAGAGCTCTCTTAATGGAGTAAAGTTGACTTCAAGAGAAGCTTGTGAAAATTACTTGCCGTAGTTTCTCGCAGAGAAACCAGAAAAGTTTAACACTGATGAAATAATGTCTCTAGCGGAAAAATGGCAAAAAGTATTTGACCAAAATAGTTCATATTTGGATCATTAAAGTTCATTCTAAATATATGGCACAAAAAATTAGTTGAAGTTTGATAATTTGTCGAAACATCCATCATCGGACTACTACAGCGTATAGCTGCCATACATACTGTGCTATTTCCATAAAATCAAGTCTTTGCGTGAAAAACTTTTGTAATTGACAACACATATTCAGTAAATTTATCATGGGTTATTGCTCAATCTAAAAATAAATTGTTCAGATCGGACCTTTATAGCGTATAGCTGCCTAACAAACTGATCGATCAAAATCTAGACAAAGATCTTTGTATACTCTTTTATGCTATAAAATGCACCTGTGAAAGGTATTATAGCTTGGGAGCCGCCGAAATTAGTCTGCATTCAAAGTTCAAAACGCACATGGCTATAAGTCGTCAAAGCGAAACACAAATATTACGTATACGCCGTGTATACACGTTTGCACTTCCCAAAGCCGCTTGATAAGTGAAAAACAATAAAAATAAAAGACTCTGTACTACAAAGTTATATAAATTTTAATTACGTGGGCAAATATAAACAGGATTTACCCTTAGACTGCATACAATTATATGAAATATGGTAATGCCGTAAAGTTTGACGTTAAGTTGGGTATGGTATCGTATACACAAGGGTCTTTTTGGACACACATCTTAGCAAAGCTTGTTTACTTTTCATTTTAACCAAAGCACACATTATTACAAATGCCAGAAAGTAAAGAAAAACTTACAACAAATAAAACTAACCCGCTTTTTAGAATTTAGTATAAGAAAAATACTTTATAAATGCTTTTGATTCTTCTCTTGCCCCAGTATGCTGCTCAAGCTAGCGCCAGTGCCAACGCCAACGCCAACAGTCACAACAACGCAGGTAGCGGTGTCGCACATTCGAAACAACTGACCAGGCAAGTGGAGAAGAATCAATTCAATTTTGCTACGCCATCCCCGCTACCCGACATCAACCTGAACGTCGGCCCTGCGGTTGTAACCAGTGCCCTGAACGTGAGTTTTTGAAAGAGAATTACAATAATTTTATAAATTATTTTCTTTTCTCTTTGATTCCGTTTAGATACCGATTGGCATTTTGCGTTCTCTGCAAGAGTCTTTGGGTGGACTCGCTACTGCCAAACAGGGAGCGTCTGCAACAATTAACTAAGCTCCGAATTTCGATTTATATTTACATATGTGCATTAAGGAATTATCGACTTTGTATTTAAAGTAATTTTGAAAATTCAAATAAAATGTGCAAATTCCGCAAGTAAGTTATTCCCGTTATTTTTCGTACTTATTAAATTCATAGAACATGTGGTGTGGAATATTAGACCGACTGTAGTTGTTCTTCCTGTTGGCGGAATGGTTTGTTTCAGTGCCTAGTTTGCCGCATGTTCGTGTTTCACAAGTTCAGTCGAATTTTCAGTTCTTCGGTTTTGATCAACAGATTTTTCGAGTATGTGTATTTCCTGCTGAGTTGTCATAATTTATTAAGAAGTGCAACCGAAAGCTTTCGCAAAACAAATTTTAACTCCGCTCTTTCTTTTTTCTCTATTTAGACAATACTTAATAAAACACCCTCGAGCTTTAACCCAGTTAGTGCAAGAATATTATGTAACCGAATATGTTATATATTTTTGTTGTATTCTCCGGTTTGCGGTTTATAAGCTTACATTATCGCATTAAGTTTTGGGTCAAATAGTCTAAACAAACACAGCCCATGAATTCGTAAATCCATAAAGTTCGGCTCAAGTGTTTTCGCAATTAATATTGTTGTTGTAATTTTTTGCCACATGCCTTAGTGTGAATAACATGTTCTGGTGCTTAAAAAGCAGCAAAGGCGGACTTTTCACATTTAAAAGCACACATTTCCAACTTCCAACACATTTGTAACCGAATTCGTATCCACATTGCGGTTAACCAAAATTATTTTGAGTAAATAGCAGCTGGAAACATCAGGATATTTGAATACTTTTTGAATAACAATAAAACCCTCAACCACATGCTCACCATCACAGCTTGGAAGTGTGGTCGCCATTTAGGGCCACCTTATATGCCGGCAGGAACTCAGAACCGTGTGTTCGAAGGACGGTAGCCAGGAGCACTAATCCGCTCTAAATATTGTGTAAAGGTTTAACACTGCAGATATATTTACTTTCCATCAACCTGTCCACTTTTACTATGCGATCAATACTTTTGCCGACAGTGATTTGAAAGTCACGAGAGATTTCAACGGTTGCTGGCTGCCAGCCGTCTCTACAAAAGAAAATCAGGCACGATGCCTGATCAGTGCCTAGGTGACGCTCGCAGGGCGCTGCGATGTGATTTAACAGTCGTAATGTAATCTCGCGGGAACCTGGCTGTTTACTTCGTGGTTTCAGCATTAAAGTTTAACATTAGTTTTTGTCACACACTCTCTATTCGGCACTTTCCCTACAGGCAATGTAATGCCTGTGGAATGTTTTGGACACTTGATGCAAATACTTTTCATTACCAAAATAATAGAGCGCCGCATATGTGTACCCATATGTACATACATATGTGCATAATTTTCATTCATTTGCCTACAACAACAAAAAGTATACAATCGTATAAGAAGATGAATGGAGCCGCAAAACAAATGACCTGCTTTGTAAATATTTACCCCAAGCCCAGCGAAAAAGTCGAAAAAGTATTAGAACACACACTCAGTCTTAAACAGCGTCGAATTGTTGAGAAATGGCTTGACCTCACAAATTCAACTATTAATTAAGAGGCTCTCAAAATCTTCTTAAACAGGAGTTTTTGTACATAGAATCACTGAAGTAGTGTCTAATTTTAAAATATCATTAGTAATTTGAAATTTGTATGTGGCTTAATAGTTCTATCGCCTCAACCATTCTTTTGGCTCTTCGAGTACGTACACACTCGATTTTCTTGTTATTACTCATTCAGTGAAATGTAAGAACTGCGAATAATTTTTGAAATTTAATTTGAAATTTCATTGAAGACATAAAGCGCTTCACCCCTGAAAAGGTGCAAAAGCATTCATTGGTACATACGCCTATACAATGTACATATATATAAACATACATACATGTAAACAAATAAACGCTTTCAGTTAGCATGACAGCTAGCAAAAGTGATTTGAACTTGTCCGCGACTTTTGTACTTTAAATCGCCTAACGTCAGCTAATGCAATTGGCAACTTTCGAACCTTCTTTACTGAGTAATCATTCGATAAATGGCATTTATTTACATTGACCAAGAGTTTTTCTGCTGATTTGGCACGTGCGGTTAAGGAAAAGTTTGTATTAGCCTCTTCAATTTCTTTGATTCAGCCAATTGAAACCGACAAATAAATTCGTGGAAAGGGGATGTCTACCTTCGAGCTCAAATGTCGGGCGTATTTTTTGACGATGGACAATTTTTCTTTTACTAATTTATTAATTATTAATTCTTAAAATTTATTATAGAAAAGACCATCCTTTGATACCAGTAGACGAGCGCAGAAACTTTTTCCGTGCAAAAACGAACGAACATCTCTGCTCGATAAAGTATGTATGTATACCTAATACATTGTATAAACCTATACTTTATACAATAACCTAATAGTTGTTTTTCAAGGTAACCAACATCCATATCTCGCAATAAAACTGCTAAGGTTGAATTTATCTATTTGTATGTGAAAATATTAATGAATAAATTGAGAATTAATGTTGGCAATACTGTGGGCACTATTACCCACTAGATGTCGCAGTGTGTAGATCTCCAGGTCCGCCAATTCTCCACAATTGCTGGATTTGAACATAAAAACAGCAACACTTAAAATTGTCAAAATAAGCTGATTTTTGTTTTGTATCGCAAAAGCCGCCAATTGTTGGCAAACACAATCATAAAAAAGGACATGCGCCCTGTACCATTAAATGCGAAAAACCCAATTGAGGACTTCTAAAAGCGAGTATAGCTTTGGGCTGCTAGTGGATAGGTTGGAAATTTGGTGCGGATAAGTTTTGGATTTTTTGGCCAACATACACAACTAATCGTTAAAACAGAAATGTGAATTGTATTGTAAAATAGTTTTCGTCACAATAACTAAAAGATTTATGTATAAAAAGCATAAAGTGGAATTTCTAGCAAGTAATGGATGAATTCAAGAACATAACAAACGCATCGTCGGTAGTGAAAATCTCCGCGTGCCTGGAAAAAATTTTCAAAAAAATCACCGAAAGTCGAGAAAAGAAAATATCGGAGCAAAATATTAAAGAAATTGAGTTTTTAAAAACACAATGCAAATCGGATTTGGTACAGCTGAGTTTATTAAGCTCACAGACATTTGTGAGGCTCGTGGAGGGTGGTGTTTTGGACGCCTCTAATGTGCTAACCATGCTAATTTCCATGCTGCCGAACTCCAGGTAAATATATATTACACAAACAAAAAGCGTACTATCACTTCACAACGTCCTTAGTTGAAGTGGCACCTGGTATTCTCTTTTATATCGTCCTTGCACCGGAAATGGGTGCGAATCAAAAGCAAATGACTTCAAGGCTCTGCGCATATTTTACAGCAATTTATTCGCTTTCATAGCATAGTGGCTGAAAGTTTTTGTAACTTCTAGCAACACAATCTTACTGCTCCTTTTTCTTCCGTGCATTTGTTCTTCCGCAAAACTACGCCACAACGCTATTTCCGCTGAAGCTATAGGCTAACAAAAATCGTTGCATTGCCGGCTTTGAAATGGCTGCACTTTGTCCGATTACTTTGCTCCTTATAGCATTGATCCGTTGCATGTCTGTTTACATATTTAGGAAATTTAAAGTAAGAGGCACTATCCTTTAGGTATGGGTATGTATGTGTGTATAATTAGCTAACTCCATTAATACGTACATTTACATATGTATGTACTATATAAAATCCTGTTACGTAAACCGATTTTTGGAAAATAAGTTTTTGTTTTTTTTATTATTGTAATGTAGCGGTTGGGAATAATATATAAAAACCGCAGTAATAATTAAAATAAATTCTATAGTTTTCTAAAATTTCCTCAAAAAAAAAAAAATATATATATATAAGGAAATATAATGAATAAATACATTACTAATACTACTTGCTTCAAAATGGTTTTCGAATAAGATCTTCAGGAATTACTCTTTCATAGTCTTACGGCACATATTTATACCCTAAACAGGGTATGTTAAGTTTGCCACGAAGCTTATAACACCTAGTGAAAGCTACCCATGCTGTTATACAAACTAATCGATCAAAATCAAGTTCCTGTATCGAAAACTCTTTTATTTGAGAACCATAGTTCAGAGTTTTTATTGTTTTTGCAACCGTCGCCACCTAATTTAGTAATTGTTTCAATTTTACGCTCAATGCCAGTAGGTTCGTCATATTAAACTTCCGTTGTGGTTTCTGAACACTTCGCATTATGTTACATAAATTATTACACTAATGGCGATTAGCACAATAGGTGTTAATCATCAAACATTACGAGCAAAATTTCTTATTAATATGCAGACATTCCTATGTATATACAATAGGGTGCTTAAAAAAATTTGAATATTTTTTTTTCAACTTTTACCCTCTCAAATGTTAGTGATTGACAATAATAATTTTGTCGCGGGAATTTTTAAGGTTTGAAAAGCCAACTTTATGAATATGTGATAGTTTTATTTGAGAAACGAAAATTAGTTGGTGAAATTTTAGTTTAAATGAAAAATCAAAAAATTCTTTGTGAAATGTATGGGAACCTAAAAAACAATAGCGACCCCTTAGAGTTAAGATACAGCGCTTGGCTTGAGGGAGGATTTTTTATTTGTCAATCACTAACATTTGAGGGAGTAAGAGTTGAAAAAACAAATTAAAAAAGAAAAATTTTTTTGAAGCACCCTAATGTATAAACATACCTACCAGTATATCGACATTAATTGTAGAATGGCAGACAGACCGTTGCTGTGTCGGCCGCACCGTCAAATTTCGACTTAACTTCCAAGTGTGTTATTAAGTATTTTGACACGTGGCATTGACTCGCCTGCTGACATGGTGACCCCATTGCAATATCCTACTGTTAGTGATGTGGTCGATGACTCTAGAATACTGTGATGAATTGCCAACTCCGAACGGAAGGCGAAGGATATACGTATGAATTTATTCATGTGTAAGTACATACATTTGTATTTGTACACCTGTGAAAATCAAAATAATTAGCACACTGAGGGTGGCCTGTTTGGAAGAATGGTGCTGTGATGTTGGTGAGGAACAATAAAGTGAAATAAATAAATGGCGCAACTTAATCTGATAG